ACAATTGGAAAGAATTAAGTACCTCATGAACACTTTGTCTAAATTCACTCTAGGTAGTTCTAACCTTGAAGTCTTACTTGGATCACAAAGAAGTGTACTAAACAAGCAAGGAATTGGCTATACCCGTAAAAACAGTAAATTGAAGACTAGAAAGTTCATTGACATTAGTAAACCCTGATCTATAACATGCTTTTACTACAATCATATTGGTCATCTATCAAAGGTTTGCTACTACAAAAATGTTGGTGTGCCTAAGGGTAAATTTAAATGGATTCCTAAGGAATCACCACAACTACCTAACACTAACCCTTTGTTCACTTGAATGGATTTGAGGAAGAGTGATTGAGTGGATTTGAGAGGATTTGAAGATAAATTTTTTTGTTGTTTATTTGAGTAAATTTGGAGGTAATTGAGAGTGAATTTGGAAGCAACGTTGGTGAGAATTAGTGTAGGATTTCATTGATTTGACAGATTAAAAAAATTTACTTCCAAATCCACTCTCACTTACTTCCAAATTCACTCAAATAAACAACAACAAAATTTATTTTTAAATCCTCTCAAATCCACTCAACCACTCTCCCTCAAATCCATTCAAGTGAACAAAGCCTAAATGACCCAAATTCATTTGGGTACCTACATCCAAGCCTTTTAACCGTTTTGCATGTAACTAAGATGAATTGAAGATGTTTGTGCTAAGGTGAAATGTAGAACTGAAACATATCTCACAATTCAAAGTGATCATAACACCTTGAAGACATCAAACTTGGTAACAAGCATTGGTATTGGTAAAACATGCATATTTTACATTTTGCATAAATATTTTGACATGTATGATGTGTGCTTGATGCTAGATGTAAATAGGATGAGTAAAAATATTCAAAATGACAAAATCTGTGAGTTTTAATCGATTATGTTAAGACCATGATTGATTGGGCATTCTTCTCTGTTTTGCTAGAATTGGGTTTTGTTACTGACATAATCGATTACATTAAAAATATAATCGGTTAAAATAGCTTTAGAAAGGTTTTTCAAACTTCAAACAGATTCCCCACTTCTCTTAATCAATTAGGTCGAAACCCTAATCAATTAAAATGTTCTTTCATTTCTCATTCTTAGAATCTTGAGATCAAAATTCCTTCAATGTGAAAAATCCTCTCAAACCTATAATCCTCATGGCCTTTTCTTCAAAATGTGTCAAAAGGGTCGCTCGGAAAACCAGGTCAACTAGTCCCACCAAATGGATAAGCGATGAAGAAGCTCAAATGAATTTTGAATGCTTTTGGCGTATTCGAAAAATCGTCGCCCAAAAATATATAGGGATAAACTATTTTCGAAGAGAAGGATTTATCTTTCAAGACTAGTTGAAGTATCAAGGGCTGACAAATTTCGTGGAGATGTCTAGTGAGTGGTACCCAGATTTAGTAAAGGTGTTTTGTGCAAATCTAAAAGTATTTGATGGTACTATATGCTCGAGAGTGAAAAGAGTAGATATTAGACTAGATGAGGATGTCTAGACATTTATTGTTGGTATACGTCCAAGAGGCTATAAATCTCATCTAAGAATGCTTGAAGTAAACAAGCTTGCCATATAAAACATGCTTGAGAAACCCTGAAGAGCCTAGAGATTACACATTATACAGGGAAGGGGGTTTAAAAAGAGATGATAGATTGTGTGCATTTGTCATTGCATGGATTCTATTGCCTAGGGGGAGCAATCATGCTCAACTAACTACAAATGACTTTTATCTGATCCATGCCTTGAAGGGAAGACTTCAAACAGATTGGATAGCAACTATTTGTGATCATATGGTCAATATAACAAAACAAAATTTGGCAAATCTTCCCTATGTTATCTTTTTGTCCAAGGTTATTAGTCATTACAATGTTGATCTCACTAATGAGGTGACAAGAGACTGTAATAAAACCAATCTTATCTCCAACCTTGCCTTGCACCACATGGGACTTAGAAAAAGTGAAACAGGATGGGCATTCAAGGATGAACATCAGCCCATGGAAGGAGAAAATATTGAGCCACTAAATGTGGACGCTTCAAATGCAGGACCTGCCTTCAAACCAAAGACTGATTTTGAAAGGTTCATGGTTAAGCAATGAAGATTCAGTCAGCTAGGTTTGACAAACTTGAAAAATCATTTGTTGAAATTCAAAAGAAGTTAGATAAGCAAAACCTGGATGATGAATTTGATGATGAAGATGTCTTTAGAAGTGACATTGAGGAAGATATGGAAGAAAAAGTAACTTACAAAGATTACATAAAGGGGTCATGGTCTCCATGTGTCAGCACACTCATATTATTCTTGTTTCTTTCTCTTCATCCCCAAGGAGAAAATAAAGAAGAAACCTAAGGTGCTCTATAAAAAGAAGATCATAACCTTATTAATTATTCCCAATATCTAATCTTTCATGTACGCTTTTGTTTTCTGTTATAAAGAAAATTGTGAACTATTCTATTGATATGTGATTCATAACCTCAAATACTCTTCTTCATTATAATTAGGAATAACACTTTTAAAATATTCTTAAAAGTAAGATCTTACTAAAAAAAATACTTGTGATCTTTTTTCTATAATGTGTACTTGAATCAATAATAATAGTAGTGAAAAATACTTGTGTAGTCTCTATAATATATTAAACTCTTTAGACGTTTTGTAATGTTTTAGAATATATTACAACCCTTTAAAAAAAATTTCAAGGACGAAATGTCTTAACTTATCATCTATTTTATTATCTTTTTTTATTACATATTTTTATTATCCTTTAAAATTAATTATTTTCTCAAAATAGAAGACTCATCTTTCACAATTTTTTTTTAAAGTATTTAAAATTTAATTCGTACTTCTAAAATTAATATGAAAAGGAGTTGAATGTTTTAACTCATTATAAAATATATTTTTTTTAACTTGTGATGATTGGATTTACTCACCAATAAAAACAAGTTTTTTTTTTTAATTATTGAGAAGGACTCTACTTGTATTTTTATGGTAGCAATGTTTCAAATTCTAAATATATTAAGAAGGAAATGTATTTAGAAACTTAAATATTTCACAAATAAAAAAGTGTTTGATCTGATCTGATAGCAAATATATTTAGGATTCTTAATTAACCAATGACCTCGTACAATTTGGAAACAAAAAGTGTCCATGTTTATATACATTATTTAATGATGAAAATGAGTTGAATTGGATAGGGATAGTGAATTATCTTTACCGAATTCTATAAAAAAATATATATGTTTTGTTATTAGTTTTATCATTAGTTAGATATTCGTCCTCTCACTTAATTATAATTTTTCTTTAAATCTAAAAAAATTAATTTTTTTAAAGAATCAAACAATCCAAATGTAATAAAAAAACAAACACAAAAAACAAACAAATAAGTTACTAAAATTGATATTTTTGTAACATTTATCCATTTTTAATATTAGAATCATGAATAGATAAATCCATAATATTTTTTTCTACAAACATACTTTTCTTTATCTTTCATCTACAACAAAATAAAAAATATGTTAACTAATAATATTGAAATATAAAATAAGAAATAATTAAATTAAATTAGGTGGATTGGTGAGTCAACTCGGCTCACCAGAGGTTCAACCTGGGTGTACTAGATTTTAAGTGTGCCAAGTTGAAAATTGATCCGTATCAAAAAATAACTTTTTTTCAAACCCAACCCGACCTAAACTCGTGGTGAGTCAGGTTTACCCATAGATTCTAATCCATTTTGACAACACTAATATTTATAAAAAAATATGTGTGGAATGAAATGATATTTTGCATATATATATATATATATATATATATATATAATCTTTTTTAATTTTAAATAAATTTACTTAAAACAAATTTTTAAAATATAAAATTAAATAAAAAAATACTTTTTAAGTACAATTCAAATAAAATTATTTACTAAAATGTTATAATGCATGCACATTTGAATGAGTTGTGTAAAAATATAGAATTTTTAAAATTAATCCTTTTGAAAATATCTTCAATTTTATAGGTCTAAATAAAAAAATAAAAATATATGAAATCAATTTCCAAACAATTTTTCAATAATTATTATTTTTCACTAGTAGCTTTATTTTGATTACTCCATTTAAAAAAATTGTAAAATAAAACTCACTAATAATTATTTTTCAAGAAAAAAATATAGAAAATAAGGGTTAACCATAGTTTTAGTCTATGAATTTTGACAAAAAATTTGGTTTCTGCAAAAAAAAAATTAATATATCGGGATTCTCAAACTTTAAAAATAAATATAATTATTTTAATTCAATTATATTAAATTTTCTTGTTGATATATAATCGTGTTTCATACTAATAGTTAAGTTATTTACATAATTTGAGTTGTTTAGACCGTTTAAGCTTTAATATTTACAAAGAAACACATTTCACATGTAAAAAAAATTTAACAAATTGACTTAAAAAAACTTATATCCATATCCCAACAAAATTTAAAAACTACAAACAAACTTACCCAAAAGATAATTATAAGTGGGTAACATATATCCACTGTTCATATACCATGGTACTCATGCCCATTATCCACATATATTTATTAAAATATTCATTTAGTATCTATCTCTTAAACTTTTTTCAGAAATATCCGTGAATATTGATTTTTTTACTATTGGTAGGCATGTGTACAGGTGTGAAGTTAGTGAATAACCATTTTTATTTCTTTTTAAAAGATTAAAGTAGTAAGAGTGTAACCCGTATATACAATCTTTTATATTGTATGTCTTTAAAATAAATCTGTATTTCATTTTCCGTAAAGTGCAAAAGAGATCTATAAAAATAAAAAAGATTAAAAATACAAGAAGAAGAAAAATGAATTATTGATGAAATTTCACAGCATAAAAGTATTAATTTAATCAGAATACAATTTTGTATATCATATAACATGTATATGATAAATTTAATAATTTGTTTAGAAAAAGATTTCTGAGTTCCACGGCCCAATCCGTGGCCCATGTAAAAAATGTTTCGCCATTTTCTTCTCGGTACTTTCTGCGATGTTTACGTAGATGGTGTTGAACAGCCATGGAGAAGCCATCGTCGTCGCTAAAATCGAGCACGAAGGTGAAAGCTTCGAGCGATGCGAACACCAGCTTGAGTATGCTGAATGAGGATATTCTTCAGAACATTCTAGCGAGGCTTCCTGCTGTACCATTCGCTTCCGCAGCGTGCGTCAGCAAAGCATGGAACTCTCTCTGCAATCGCATCCTCTCTCGTCCCAAACTCTCTTCTGCGCTCTCTCTCAACCCTTCGCTCCCCGTACGTCTCTTTCTATCTCACATTTTACTGAATTAGGGTTCGGTAATAAACCTACGGAATGACGTCGGTTAACGCTTTACAATTTCGAATAGGATGCTGTCAACGAGGTTGTGCAAAGGGTTCTGTCGGAGCCAATTCGACCACATTTTGCTATTGCCAATACTGGAACTGGATTCTGCACTTCCAAGACTCTGCGGCTTGTAAGGAATTAATACCTTCACCTCTTTTGAATTTTTGCTTTATTGTGTTTGCTATGCAATTGGCTTAATGCTTATGTTACAGATTAGACAGTCATTGGGATCTAATATTCCCGTTATTGTTACCGTGGCAAATGGTATTATTGGAAGGGATGCTGTTACTGATGAGTTTAAAGAGGTTGGGTTTTGATATTTGTTTTCTGTTGTGATAGAGATTTTCTGAACTCGACTAAACGCAGGGTGATTTATGTAGGTCAAATGGGGTGCCCTTTTTAGTGGCTTTGGTGAGGAAACATATGCAACGTCTATAAACGAAGGCTTAGTTTTGACTGTTGGCTACTTGCCGGGATTGAAAGTCGAAGCTGTGCCGTTGCGGCGGCCACAAAAGGTAGTAAAATCCCTTTAAGAATTTGGACTTGTGCATTCTCAGGAAATGAATATGTAATCTAAGAGAGATAGAGATAGTAAGACATTGTGAAAATGAATGTTTGTACAACCCAATTTTAGGGGTTGATGCCAAGTAGATAGAGATGGCTTATTGAAGACAGGTGTTAAAGAACATAAAAAGAACATGACAGTAAAATATTTGTCTGTTCTGCATTGGTTTTTCATATTATTAACTACACACTTTACTAAACAGACGAGTCTCAATCCATAGACTAACACTACTATGACTATTTGATCTCTTTTAACATCACAGTTAGCATATTAGATCGTTTTTTAGATGTGCTTGTCTAAGCTCAGAACCAGAAAGGCATTAAGGCATAGTGTGTGGTTCAACCAGTATGAGTCACTAATGTTGCCTCACCTCAGTTCCTTAGTTGCACCCTTTCGCATCTTTATACTGATTAGTTATATTTAAATGAGGGTTTGCTTTATTCTTTTATTTATTTTTTCCACCAGTCATCTCAAGCACCTTGGGTCGACAATTTTATTAAGGATATTAAGGAATATTCAGCCATTGCCTCCGGTCGCCAGTTCCCTGTTGGGATTATATTGTTTGGAGTAAGTTTATAGCTGCACACATATATACTAATTTTATTTTAAGATCTTTTTCATTATTTATTTAATTCTTGGTTATGTTTCTGATACTCTGATTTGGCTGCGTAGGAAGCAAGCAGTGACATGAAATTGGTTCTGGAGAAATTGGGTGAGTGATACTTATATGCATATCATTTGGTATTCCTGTATGTATTATGTTTCTTAGCTATGCACTTTTGTTTAATATTTTCATTTTCATTGCCTCTTTACTTTATGAGGAATATAGTAGGAGAAAATTGGCGTGGTGCTTGGTAGGCAAAAGAGCAAGGAAGGAAATTATTTCATGGGGTTTATTATGTGCACAATTTTTTTACTAAAAGATATAACTTGGTGTTTACTCTAAAATTTTTGTAGTAAAATATCTATGGGATACATATCTGTAATTTGTACTTGACTTTAGATTCGGAAACTGTATTCTACCAATGTGTTTTAGATCATTATTTTAATTTGTACCCTTTTACTACAAGCTTGTGCTTTTCAATTTCATTATTCTTTTTTTATCAAAATGATGTCTTGTTTTCATTTCAGATTATGCTATGCCATTGGACACTATCGTTGTGGGTGATGAGAGAGGCTCCTTTGAGTTTGTACACAAAAGTGGGAATGATTCTAGAATCATTTGTAGTAAAAGAGGAAACGTAGAAGCTGTTGCTCTGGTATTTGCTCAGGACAGAGATAGGTCTTTGGGTATGTCTTGTTATCTTTTGACATGATCCATGATATATAATCCATGTAACTGCTTGCATAATGCCCTTTTTCATTGAGGGAGAGAGGGAGGGAGGGAGGGAGAGGGAGAGGGAGAGGGAGAGGGAGAGGGAGAGGGAGAGGGAGTCTCCTCACTGACTTCTTTCAAACGAAAATACCTCTCCAATATGTTAGTCCAGCAATAAGCCTCGTCTCCCACAAAAATAGGAATGTCCAACTTTCTCCATTTTGAAGAAGCCACGACAGAACCTCCCCCCTCATTCTCTCTACCATCATCATTGCTTCCCTTGGCAACAAAAGAGTTATTTTCTGTATGTTTATCGAATGACGCTAACCTTTCTACCACCACTGTAAGCCCCTTAGTCATATCTTCCAAACAGTGGAACCTTCTATGATTCTCATTGTCCTGTTCTTGCACTATTTTTTCCAGGCCATCCAATCTTGATTCCATTCTTGTATTCACCATGCCCCAACAACCACCACTGCACCAGGAAAGAGGCTCTGAATACCAATTGATAGGTACCCAGATTTTATTAACATTGTAAAGAACTTCAAGACAGATTCTTGGATGATTTCTTAGGAAAACCAGACAGCTTGGTCTATGTTTAATGACTGAGAACACAAAACAAAATCCCAGGTCTTTCGAGACGACTTGGCTCTCCCTTCCTTACACTTACAATCTTCTCAAAAACTTCTAAAAACAACCCATATACAGACTATATATAGTAGTCTGTTTACAACAATCCACCTCTGTTAGGTTCCTGGGTTTGGAACCTAACAACACACCCTCTCGATGTCGATAAAAGAGATGAAACCCAAACAATAACACCACTGACAACAGATAATAGAGATGAAAGAATGGATTCTCTTATTGATAGTAGTAGAATTGTCACTTTACAGAGAATGGGGTTGGGAGCATAACCTCCCTGGTTGAGAGCATAACCTCTCTCTACAGGCTAAACCTGACTTTACAAAATAATACTCGATAATCCTCTATAGAGTTACAAGAGCTCTATTTATATCAGCTCTGACCCACTACCCCTTTTACAACCGACACCCCCACACCCTTAACTCCTAAACCCACCTATTCTATCATCTTATATCCTAACAACCTCACAGACAGTTATAACTGCCTGTTATCCTTATTCCTCCTAACAAACAATTTCCTCCTAAACCTATCATGGAATGATTGCTTTTCCAGATTTGGGGAGAGGTTTAAGAGCATGGTGATTTGACACTTCCAATTGGGAGTGTTATAAAATCCACTAGGTACATTACTAAGCTTGAGGAAGATGTGATAATTATGAAATATAGGGAGCGAGTTGAGTTCTTGATAGTTCCTTTCCTTCTTTCTCACCAAAATATTCTCTCTCAGTAGGCCATACACAAGAAGCCATATACCATAAAGAATATTACTCTTCTTTCACTTTTGAATTCTAGGTTCCTAACAAATTGGTCTGACCTGTTGGATAGAGGAAGAGGTGGAAGCATGGAAGAAAGAGTAAATACTTTTGGAGAAAGGGGCTAACAAACAAGGAAGAGCCATGACAAAAAAAAAAAAAGATTGTATGCAAGAAATAAGGGAAATCATCCAAGAAACAAAAGACATGCTACAAGAACTCATTAATGATGGAAGGGGCTCAGAAGGAAGTGAGAAATTTGTCATGAAAGGAAAGAAAGAGGGAATAACAAGTATGGATGCTGAGAAAGATAGTCTGCAAAACATCAAGAAAGGTAAGAAATTCTCTAAAGAAGGAGAGTTCTTTGCTAATGATGAAGAGAAGAAGGAAGAAAGATATCCACAGAGTAGTAAACCAGATGAGGGAGAGAAATTGTTGAGGCCTAGGGTTAAAACAGTGGTGTCAGGGAGCGACCCAGTTGAGGTTTGAGTGTCCATGGGTGCATCCACTATAGCAGTTACAAATCCATATCTCGAAATTCTTGACATTATAACAGCGACAAATCTTGCTTCTGGCAATGGCCACAAAGGAATTTCCAGTTTTCTTGTAGAGTTTTTATCAACTAGCCATCTTGAATTACTAACAATGGAGGAAGAAAAAGATGGGGAAAGAAACTTCAGGAATGGAAGCAATGCAAATAGTTTCAGAGCGAACTGCGACACTTGTGCTTTACGGGGATATACCAGATGTTATTTGCCTTAAGGATTCTCTCAATGCGGTCCAGAATGTTACACAAGTTTTTGATCAAATTCATCAAGTATACAAAAAATTCATCAAGTATACAAAATGCAGTCATTTTAGAGGAAACAGTTAGCTCGACATGATGATGATGATGAATTTGGATGGTCAGATCAACAAGCTCTTTCCTTTTTAGCTTGTAGGATGAACAAATTTGAACAAGGAGAGGGTTTAGCCATTGCCGCTACTATACAAATACAGAAAAAGTTTCAGGGTTGGAAGAAGAGAGGAGAAAAGAATTCTTGATCATTCGTCATGGAATTGTTAAAATCCAAGCCCATGTAAGAGGTCACTAGGTCAGAAAGCAATATAGAACAATCATATGGTCCATGGGAATCCTGGAAAAGAAGTCGTTCTTATTATTAATGGAACAAAAGGAGTCAATAATTCTCTCATATCGACCAACCAACCAAGCCTCTNGAGGGAGGGAGGGAGGGAGAGGGAGAGGGAGAGGGAGAGGGAGAGGGAGAGGGAGAGGGAGTCTCCTCACTGACTTCTTTCAAACGAAAATACCTCTCCAATATGTTAGTCCAGCAATAAGCCTCGTCTCCCACAAAAATAGGAATGTCCAACTTTCTCCATTTTGAAGAAGCCACGACAGAACCTCCCCCCTCATTCTCTCTACCATCATCATTGCTTCCCTTGGCAACAAAAGAGTTATTTTCTGTATGTTTATCGAATGACGCTAACCTTTCTACCACCACTGTAAGCCCCTTAGTCATATCTTCCAAACAGTGGAACCTTCTATGATTCTCATTGTCCTGTTCTTGCACTATTTTTTCCAGGCCATCCAATCTTGATTCCATTCTTGTATTCACCATGCCCCAACAACCACCACTGCACCAGGAAAGAGGCTCTGAATACCAATTGATAGGTACCCAGATTTTATTAACATTGTAAAGAACTTCAAGACAGATTCTTGGATGATTTCTTAGGAAAACCAGACAGCTTGGTCTATGTTTAATGACTGAGAACACAAAACAAAATCCCAGGTCTTTCGAGACGACTTGGCTCTCCCTTCCTTACACTTACAATCTTCTCAAAAACTTCTAAAAACAACCCATATACAGACTATATATAGTAGTCTGTTTACAACAATCCACCTCTGTTAGGTTCCTGGGTTTGGAACCTAACAACACACCCTCTCGATGTCGATAAAAGAGATGAAACCCAAACAATAACACCACTGACAACAGATAATAGAGATGAAAGAATGGATTCTCTTATTGATAGTAGTAGAATTGTCACTTTACAGAGAATGGGGTTGGGAGCATAACCTCCCTGGTTGAGAGCATAACCTCTCTCTACAGGCTAAACCTGACTTTACAAAATAATACTCGATAATCCTCTATAGAGTTACAAGAGCTCTATTTATATCAGCTCTGACCCACTACCCCTTTTACAACCGACACCCCCACACCCTTAACTCCTAAACCCACCTATTCTATCATCTTATATCCTAACAACCTCACAGACAGTTATAACTGCCTGTTATCCTTATTCCTCCTAACAAACAATTTCCTCCTAAACCTATCATGGAATGATTGCTTTTCCAGATTTGGGGAGAGGTTTAAGAGCATGGTGATTTGACACTTCCAATTGGGAGTGTTATAAAATCCACTAGGTACATTACTAAGCTTGAGGAAGATGTGATAATTATGAAATATAGGGAGCGAGTTGAGTTCTTGATAGTTCCTTTCCTTCTTTCTCACTAAAATATTCTCTCTCAGTAGGCCATACACAAGAAGCCATATACCATAAAGAATATTACTCTTCTTTCACTTTTGAATTCTAGGTTCCTAACAAATTGGTCTGACCTGTTGGATAGAGGAAGAGGTGGAAGCATGGAAGAAAGAGTAAATACTTTTGGAGAAAGGGGCTAACAAACAAGGAAGAGCCATGACAAAAAAAAAAAAAGATTGTATGCAAGAAATAAGGGAAATCATCCAAGAAACAAAAGACATGCTACAAGAACTCATTAATGATGGAAGGGGCTCAGAAGGAAGTGAGAAATTTGTCATGAAAGGAAAGAAAGAGGGAATAACAAGTATGGATGCTGAGAAAGATAGTCTGCAAAACATCAAGAAAGGTAAGAAATTCTCTAAAGAAGGAGAGTTCTTTGCTAATGATGAAGAGAAGAAGGAAGAAAGATATCCACAGAGTAGTAAACCAGATGAGGGAGAGAAATTGTTGAGGCCTAGGGTTAAAACAGTGGTGTCAGGGAGCGACCCAGTTGAGGTTTGAGTGTCCATGGGTGCATCCACTATAGCAGTTACAAATCCATATCTCGAAATTCTTGACATTATAACAGCGACAAATCTTGCTTCTGGCAATGGCCACAAAGGAATTTCCAGTTTTCTTGTAGAGTTTTTATCAACTAGCCATCTTGAATTACTAACAATGGAGGAAGAAAAAGATGGGGAAAGAAACTTCAGGAATGGAAGCAATGCAAATAGTTTCAGAGCGAACTGCGACACTTGTGCTTTACGGGGATATACCAGATGTTATTTGCCTTAAGGATTCTCTCAATGCGGTCCAGAATGTTACACAAGTTTTTGATCAAATTCATCAAGTATACAAAAAATTCATCAAGTATACAAAATGCAGTCATTTTAGAGGAAACAGTTAGCTCGACATGATGATGATGATGAATTTGGATGGTCAGATCAACAAGCTCTTTCCTTTTTAGCTTGTAGGATGAACAAATTTGAACAAGGAGAGGGTTTAGCCATTGCCGCTACTATACAAATACAGAAAAAGTTTCAGGGTTGGAAGAAGAGAGGAGAAAAGAATTCTTGATCATTCGTCATGGAATTGTTAAAATCCAAGCCCATGTAAGAGGTCACTAGGTCAGAAAGCAATATAGAACAATCATATGGTCCATGGGAATCCTGGAAAAGAAGTCGTTCTTATTATTAATGGAACAAAAGGAGTCAATAATTCTCTCATATCGACCAACCAACCAAGCCTCTAGACCTGAATTGGAGGGCAGTAACACTCTCATATCGACCACCACCCAAGACTTTTTGGCAATTTTGTAGATTGAGCTTTAACTCTTTGTGAAGGGGAAACATTGGAGGAGAGAGTGCTCTTCTATTTTTTGTGTTCTTTTGGGTCTATACAGTCTATACCGTAAAGAATATTACTCTTCTTTCTCTTTTGAATTTTGGGTTCCTAACAGTTTATTTCTTAAGGGGGCCTCGAGTTTCCATTTATGCTTAGATTAAATTTGTGTTTAGTGGCTAAACTTTCTTGAGTTTCCATGTTCATTGTTGTTTGTGATATAAAACTAAATCATAATTCATAACAAGTTCTAATTCAGGCTAAAAATATTAGTTGAAACTTGCCTCTATCTTAGAGGTTTGTTGGCCTTATTGTGTTACTCACTATCGGTGGTTATCAAAGCATTCATGAATACCTATTCCCATGCATTAGATGTTCAGTCCTTTGCGGGACAGGATATGTTAGATTGGGTCATCCACTTCCCCATACTGGGTGAAGATTGGGAGATGCAAGTCAGGTTGAAGAAGCTTTCACCATTAAGAAGGACATGAGAAACAAAAGTACTAATTAAATGGAAGGAATTGCCTGACTTGAAAATTCTTGGGAGGATCTCTGATATGAACCAGGCTCAGGCCCAGTATTTACTTGATAGAATCACTTATTATGGAGTTATGTCAGTTGACTTGTTTTAGTGAGCTTCATGTTGATGACACTTACCTCAGTATCTACTTTCATGTTTGTTAATGTTAAATTTGAAGTGGTCACTTTTAAAATTTGTCTGAGGAAGTTGGCAAAAATAAGTGATTATTTCTCCAAAATAAGTTGAATCAAAGTCAAGAGTTTGTTGAATAAAAGCTTTATTAAGTTTTTTACCTAATCGTGTCCAAAACACAAATTATCAATATTGCATACAAATGTCACCAATTTTCTAGTATCCATGCATCGTAGGATAAGCACCCTCATTGTTTTTTCTTTACCATGTTTCCCTCTCTTTTTTGTTCTGCCTTTGTATGTGTGAACAAGTTGAATAATAGTCTATCTTGTGCATTGTTTTACTGTTGTGATTGTTTCCAGTTACATGGCATGATTTACTAGTCTTTTAACTTAGTTGTTTTTTACAAGTTACATACCTTTGCTATGGATTGATTTCACTGCAGGAACTATTAGGTTTCATGTTGCATTGTCAGATGGTGTTTCAACTGTGGGTCCCAGATACAAGGCAGCCTCAGTTAGAGCAAACTCCACTGATTGTGCAACATGGCTAACTGCTAGGAGGGAAGGGCAACAAGAACTTCTTGATGGTCAGAGTATTCTACTTGATATCAATAATTTGGTGCGCAATTATATGCATATTTCTAGGCAAAATTAAATATGGAAAAATATGTTTAAATTATTTAGAACTCGTCAAAACGAAGTTTTATAGAATGACCATTAGATTTCATGTAATAAATAAAATACCCTTGTGAAGAAATTTAGAAATTACTGTTTGGATCCAATTGCAAGGTACGGAATTCTAGTATGGGATTTATTTCTTCGTAATATGTTTTTTATTTTCTTAACTTAAAAAATGTTGCAGCTGGAGAATCATATTGAATCTCCTGATTTGTACATCGGGGTAATTAAACATAGGAAATTCTCCACGGGAGCAGAGAAGCTAATGCCAAGAACCTGTGTTGCATATCATGGAATTGTGGGGTATGACTGAAACTACTTTAGATGTTCTACTTCCTCATCAATGTCTATTCTTCTCTCATTCTCTGGATTCGTTTTATTAATATTTTTTGAAAAAGGACTGAATTTTACGACATCTACCTTTTTAGTGCCATATCTTATAATCCCATTATTCCATCCACTGTCATTTTCAACTGCTGATATTAATTTTGGTTTATCTAGCTTAGATGAATTACAGTGCTTATGACCAACTCAGCTAAAAGATATGGTAGTCTAAATTTACAAATTTGGTAAATTGTTTTCCTATTGTCTTAAAAAGTTGTTTTACCCATATTTTTGGAATCTTGTGCTATGTTGAAAAACAATTGTAGGAGTGGCAATGTGTAATTATTATTGTACTTCAAATTCCTGGATGGAACTAGAAGCAATCTTCTAATTCATTAATGCTTGTTTGGTGATTTTGAGGTTGAGTAAGGCATAAATCCTCCTACGTGTGTTTAAATTGTAACTGTTAATCTGAGCTCAAATTCTTTGAGAAAAGACAAATGCATGTATGCATGATTGCCTAAATTCTTTTTGTACAATCCTAGATGACATGAATTCTGTCCAGAATGAAATACGGATGCACACAATATTTTTTAACATAATTGTAAGTCTAAGCTAATTTTTTGTTTTGATAGATGGTATTACTTTATTACTATAATATTGAGATCACTTAAATATTAAAAATGGTGCCCAGACAGAAATAATGGGAAAGATGCTTCTGCCGAAATTGGAAATTAATCTTTATTAGCTTTTATGACAGCCATTTGATGTTTTTATATTGGTTTCTTTTCGTGGAGCTTGGACATGCCCTGTTATATAATCAATTTTGTTCCCATTCGTTCACGTAAAATTATGGGTGTACTTGCAATCCTTGGCCTTTAAAACACGTATCTAAGGTTCTCCATAGCCTCTAGTGAAACTGTCACCATTGGCATCATGAGGCTCCTGACCATGTGTGCGTTTTTTTTTTCTTTTTGCTCTTTTATGAGACCTCTATTTCCGTAGCAGGTATTTGTGCTCTTAATAAAAAGGCTAAGTTTTTGTGTTTGGACAGAGGTGATGAAGAGTATCTGTATGTGGACGGCATCGGCATAAAAACAGGAGATTTCTTTCAATTCTACTTTTCAGATCCCAACACTGCCTTAGCTTCATTAACCAAGGTCCATGAAGCCCTCAAGAATATTACATTGGAAAGAAATTCCAAGAGTTGCAAGGGTGATGAAGACAATGCTGCCAATGTTTTTGGAGGTTTAATTTTTGCTTGTTACGGCCGGGGAGAATCCTTCTTTGGACGTCCCAATGTTGATAGCTCCCCTTTCTTGGAGAATTTTCCAGGAGTGCCCTTTTCTGGAATATTTTGTGGTGGAGAAATGGTGCGCCCCTGTACCACTGTGATTGGTCAATGTGAAGGAGCAAGCCCCTCTAGTTGTTGTCTGCATGTCTACAGCACTGTCTACTTGGCAATGTCTTATACTCCTCCCTCTGTGGAAGATTAGACGTTCATAATTTCCTTCAATAGTGTAAATTTCTTAGTTTAGTAGGATGCCATTTTACCCTCTGCCTAGTAGTTAATGGTTATGGAATTTGTGTTTTTTTTTCTTTTTCTATACACTGTTCTTTTATTTATCTATCATAATAGCATTATGAAACTTTCTCCATACCCTCTGATGTGATCATACATAGGTCAAGAATGAAGAGTTTTTAAAGAGTTTAAAGAGTGACAAAAAACATAAAAAAGAATAGTATAGGTTCTTGGCTTGTATTTTTCCTCTTGTTTTTTTTTCGTTTATTTTGGTTGTAGAGAAGCATATAAACTCTTTTTTCTTTAATGTACAAGTAATGTGGGACTTCACATAGTTTGGACTTAAAAGAAAAGAAAAATAAATAAGCTTTCTCCTTTTGTTGCTTGTAGTGCAAATAATCATGCATAGTTTGTAGTTTTTGATTTCTAGACTCATTAGGAAGCCTATAAACCCTTTAGGAATGGAAGAATTAAGAGATGTGGGACTAAGAACGTGGTTGTCCAGACTTGGAAGCATTCCAAGTCCCATTCCTTAAATCCCTCCACTTAACTCATTCTTAAGGCTATATAAGCAACCTAGGGGTTTTCTTTGTAGAAATCTTTGAATGAATCAATTTTAAGAGTTTGCATTCCTACATTTTTTCTTGATAACAATATGTCTCAGTCTTTTTGAGGATTTTATCTTGAGCAAATCAAGTAGCAATCCACCCATTGACACTTATCTTGAAATCCTTTTCAAGTGGCGTGTCTACACGTTTTCCCTATCCTTTATCTTTTTCAATTTTAATTCTTTCCATTCCTTAATTGTCATTAGAAATAGTTTCTCTCTAAGCATGGTATTCCCTATGCATGCTTATAGAGAAACTATTTTTAATGACAATTAAGAAATAGAAAGAATTAAAATTGGAAAAAAGAAAGAATAGGGAAAACTTATGAGGTGTAGACATGCCACTTGAAAAGGATTTCAGGATAAGTATCAATGGGTGATCGCCACTTGATTTGCTTAAGATCAGATCCTCAAAAAGACTGAGACAGATTATTATCGTAAAAAAGAGATGCAAGAATGCAATTCACTCTTAAAATTGATTCATTCAAAGGTGTCTACAAAGAAGACCCCTAGGTTACTTATATAGTCTTAAAGGATGAGTTAAGTGGAGGGATTTAAGGGATGTGAAACTTGGAATGCTTCCAATTTTGGACAGCCACGTTTTCAAGTGCTCTTAGTCACACATCTCTTATTTCTTCCATTCCTAAAGGGTTTATAAGCTTCCTTGTAAGTCTAGAAATCAAAACTACAAATTATGCATGATTATTTGCACTACAAGTAACAAAATGAGAAAACTTATTTTTTCTTCTTTTCTTTTAAGTCCAAACTATGTGAAGTCCCATATTGCTTGTACTTTAAAGAAAAGTTTATAAGTTTTTCTACAACCAAAATAAACAAAAGAGGCAAAATACAAACCAAGAACCTATACTACTATTTTTTGTGCTTTTAGTCACTCTTCATTCTTGACCTATGTATGATCACATCACCCTCTGAAATACAAATTCTTGAAGTTAGAAGCTGGAGCGGATTTAATGAAATGAAGTCATTGTTTCTGCTGGGAACCGCTACCTAAAGATTGCTGGGTATTGTGGATTTGTTGTAAGTTTTGGAGAACTCAAATACTTGGTTGTTCAGTTTAGGCTGAGTTGAACGTCTAGACAATTGTCAAGGATTAGATCCTTGAGAGGCTAAACTTGGTCTAGTCGCGTTGACTAGGAAACCAGGAATGATATTAATACTTTGTTGCAACCAGTAGTGGTGAGGATACTCGATGAGAACCTAGAGAGGCAAAACTTATGGAATCTTGGAAAAGATTAGTGATACCCCTTAAGAGTTCTTAAAGAAGAACCGGACATAACACAGGTTAAATGAATCAATATAAAAATTTGTGGTTTACTGTTTTCCTATTCAAAACGTTTTCCATTTACTCGTATTGTAAAACCTAGCATCTAATCATCTTAAAACCCTTACACTTTCTCTTTACAAATTATTAGACGCTGCTTTGCGAAAATATTTTTGAAGTGTTTTCCCTGCAATTTTAGTTGGCATAAGAGTTTACCTCATGGGTGAGTTCCTAACATAACTTGAGGAAACGGTCTTAATGAGCACTAGGATCATCTCACCCACCAAAAGATAGAAATTATTTGTCTCCAAGTGCCACCTTTTTGCACGCACTAGGATCAATGTACTTGTAGGATAAGTTCACTAAGAAACTTAATCCAGACATCATGATAAAAGGCACAATAGCTTCACGATATAATCTAATTTTTTTTCACTTTTTTGCTGAGAGACCACCTTGATCCTTCCTTAATTTTACATAACAACAAGAACAAAAAATATATAAAAAATATATATATAACCAATTAACTACAAATTAACATTTAGGTTCTGTACTAACCTAGGCAAATGCAACATGTTGCAAGTAATGGGTAAGGTGTCCTGTGGACCTCTTGAGAATGCACCTTCTTCATGTCGCTGTTGAGCAACATCCTCCTATTGAACATGCTCGTGCTCAACATGCTTTTGTTCAATATACTCCTCATGCTCTTCAGTAATCATTTGTCCTCAACGACATCAACGTTAATTTCTTATGTGCATTTCTACAAGTTGATACCGTGGGTCTTCTCCTTTCACCTTATGATAAACTCTCACCACAATGAATAGATGCACCTCTAATTCTAACCATATATGTCAACCAAATATATATATATATATATATATATATAAAATAATAATTCAATATTTCAATATTTGAAATAATATATACTACTAAAACCACATCAAATTATAAAAAATAAGAATAAAATTAAAAACACAAAAAATCTAGAAAAAATAATAAATAATAAAAAATACATAATTTGAAATACGACCAAGTTTAACTGGCTTTCGAAAGCCGGTTCAGATCTTGTTTGTAAGATTTGAGAAAATAAGGGTTTTAAAAATAAAGTAGTTGAAAGAAAATAGGAGATATAATTTTGGTGGGTTTAGATATTAAAAAAAAAGATATTATTATCATTAGTTATTGTAGATATTTTAATTGATATATTGAGATATTATTACATATAATTAGATATTATGGCTTGATAATAAAAATATATATTATTGATAGTATCATAATAAATTAGAATAAAATGTATTATTATAAGTTAGAAAATATTAGAGATAGAGTTGGATAAATTCATAAATATTAAGATACAGAGGATTGTCAATCGGAGGTCTAATTTGAGAGAAAACAATCTCACATCAGCAGCTCTATTTTGGAAAATTTCATAAAATTAGCACTAGTGTTTTCGTCATTGTGAAATCGTTCACCATTGGATCGAGCTGATTTTTGGACAGTGAGTTCCAGACCTATGGTTCTCTATTCTAACGGCTCGAATCGTCAATCAGATGTCTAGTTTGGATGAAAATACTCTCGCATTAGTATCTCTATTTTGGAGAATTTTCATCTTCTTGGTTCTCATTTGTAAGCATTATGCTAATCGAAAACCCTATTTTGGGGTTTTTATTGGAGACTCTTTTGAACCCTATTATTGAGGGTATAACATGTCAATGATTGGATCTGGATGATTCAATTATGTTTACATGGGTATGTGATGCTTGAATGCATGTATGATGTGTTAACTATGTTTCCACGTGACCTAGGATTGATGTATGTATTTTTGAATGCTTGAATCATGTCCAGGATGTGTTTCGATTTGGCAATAATCGATTATCATTAGTTATAAACGATTATCTACGCGTTGGTTTTGAGTGTGGTTTCAGAATAATCGATTATTTGGAATGATAATCGATTATCCCTTCTTGTGTGATGTTGTAGGAAGTGATTCAGTGTGGTGGCGGTGATACCTTAAAGTTAGGGTTTCTCTTTCACCTGTGTGAGGCAGGGGAAGATGATGAGTTACGAGAATAACGTTAATGATTTTATGTGATCATTGGTTAGTTTAGTGAAAGAGTCACGGTTTTGAACCAACCTCGACGTATTATGAATTATGACGAGAACTTAACCAATTTTTGAAAGTTGATCAAACCTTAACCGTGTTTCGAAATACGGCTAAGACTTCTAGCCTCCATGCATTCTCACATTTACACTTTATATACATTGTATATGTTCAATTCATAGCATTTCAATCCAACACAAGCATCAACAACATGAATGAACAAAGGAGGGGAGAGAAACTAACCTTTAGTAGTGCAGCAACAACGACCACCATAAAAACTGCAACAAAGTGGAAAAAACAAAGGAAGGGGAAAGGGAGAAACAAGGGAGGTTCGGGGAGAAGAAATGTGGAATGAATATACACTAGGTTTCAAATTTTTAAAATGAAAAAGAAAAACTTGGTTAAAAATTCTAATTCTAATGCAGAAGTGACAAAAGGACAAAATTAAAATTGTAAAAAAAGTTGGACATTCAGAACGAGATTATTGAAGTGCAAGAAGAAACATTAATAACAGTCACCTTGAAACAAACAAAATATATAATTATATATTATTTTATGTTAGTTTTCATAAAATAGTTTTACTTGTTATTACTGTCAAAATGATATACACAGTTCATCTAATATAATAGTTTTTAAGTGTCCTATTTTATATAAATAATAATATTTTCTTATAAATAGCATTTTATCATCAAAGATGTTATCAACGGCATTAACATCTAATTAAAAATTATTTTTTATTATTTTACTTCTGTTTCTAACTTGAGTGTGTTCTGTAATTAATATATTTTAAAAAATCACTAAAAATATAAACGGAATAATCAGTCGTCCTTGTTCCTAAAATATTTAACTAAATCAAATTCAAACTTTAATTCTGACCTATATAAATAAACCAGTCAAACCTAATTAAATATATTACTTTTAGTAACCTAAACTTAAATTTGTTTGACTGGTTTACATTTCTGCCTATAATCAGCATAATATATTGACAAATCGTACCGTGATAACGATGGAAATGAAATAGAATTACCTTACTCATATTAACTAAATCAGTCAGGCAATGACTGTCTCCCCTGCATATATTGCATAAGAAACTAACCAATAACCAATGTTTCTATATGCTTTTAAGGTATACACTGGTTAAAAAACTTTAAATATTTTTTATTAGAACTTACATTAAAATGTATTGTATAGAATAGAATGAAATGTAGATTTTATAAATTATTATATAAAGATATTGATTGATAGAAATTACGTTAGAAAAATTAGATAATTAGATTATTTATCAATATCTATGTTCTTTTAATGAAAAAAATGTATTTTCTATTCTTAATTCTTAATCAGTTCTCTAAATATTTTTTTTAAGTTTGAATTTGAATACTTAACACCAGCAGAAGATAATAAATCACAGTGCACGTGGCAAACTCATGGCAATCATGACTGTGAGCGTATAAGGTTATTTTATTACTGCCTGTTAATCTGTTATTTTAATTATAATAATAAATTACCAATTTCCAACAAAAAAGGAATAAGTGACGTGCACGCCTTCCATTGGCTACATACCAGTAACGTTGAAATTCTCTATTTCTCCATCTCTTCTCTGTGTTCCTTTCCTCCTCCACGCTTCTCTTCTCTCTCTAGGGTTGCCTTCTTCCTCTCTCATTTCCCCCACTTTTTCCTCGCCGGCCGGAAACCTTTTTCCGGCAATATTTCCGGCCATCAAACCTTGCGCCGCCTTCAATTCAACTTCTCCATTCGAACTCAATTAATCTGTTTCAATTCGGAGCTGTAGCTAGCTTGTACGACTCTCTTAGACTTCGATTTTATACACTTTGTTTTTTGTTGATTTGACGTGTGTTTGACGTTTTTTTTATTGCAGCGATATTGGAGCAGAGGGGAGATGGCAAGTCAAACCGGTGCCTCTCGAAGGAGTATTTCCTCGACGAGGAAAGCCTCCGAATCAGGAGTGTCTCATGCTACTTCTCGAAAATCAATTACCTCTTTGCGACCTGTGTATGTTGTACTTATTCACTATCTTCCTTCTTAATTTCCGCGGCTATAATAATATATGTTTTCGATAGCATGCCCAAATTAATCAAATCGTTAATTTGAATCTTAATCTTCCTTAAATTATAATTTTTTTGACTGTTTTTTATAAGAATAAAATCCTTTTATCTTGCATGCGCTGTTTAATTTCATCTGCTTTGTGTTTATTGTTTAAAGTGCTAAAATTAACCTTGTAATAATTTGAAATATTATGGATTTTATAGCTGTAGCTATTTTTGTGGTCTGCCGATGATTATCGCTTTTCTGAGCAGCTATTTGGGATATGTGTTGCCATAGTTGTAAAACTCGGTATTTTCAAAGTGTCTACGTCAAACAAATGTGGCTATGCAAAGTCTTGCCCGATTGGCTGAGTGGTTGGTTTACAATAATGAAAATAAAGGTCTTTGACTTTGATTCGGTTGCTATGGTTGTACCATCAAGTTTACTTGATTGAAAAACACTTTTATGTATCATTTTGTTAAAGGCTAAGCAGGCGTAAAATACGTACAAAGAAAATGAATTCTGGAGGAATTTATTGTTTCGAGTAAGTAGATTTGTGCCTTGAACATTTATTTCCGTACAAGAATTTATCCTCTTCCCCCTTATGAATTTGAGTCTGTTTCAGAGGTTGATGATCTTGACATGGGTATAGCCGCTTTCTTTAATTGCGTATTTCGTAACCAATTAGTGGTGCCTACAAGGTTGACTTAAGAAAATTGAATTGGTTTCAGGAGTTGTTAAGTGCGCTCAAATAGAGTTATTTTTAAGCAATATCATGATAGGTCCTTCATAAGTATCTTAGAACAGAAGACTTTTTGTTGAAAGTCGTATCAATTTAAATAATGGGATGGTCCCTCATTGGTACATGAAATTGATCAGGGCATTAGCAGGAGAGCGGACTGTGAAATCATTGCGACTTACAAAGGCCCTGACAGTACCTGAAACAACAACCATCTACGAAGCATGTCGTCGTATGGCTGCCCGTAGAGTGGATGCTCTATTACTAACTGATTCTAATGCTTTACTCTGTGGAATCCTCACGGACAAGGTACCATTCATACATGGTTTTCTCAAATTTTAGAAAGAAACAAAAAATTGAGTCCATGCCTAGGCTTCTGCAGTTTTAACCTACACAACTTCATGTTCTATTTTATGGTTAAATAAAGGATATTGCAACAAGAGTTATTGCCAAAGAGATTAACATTGAAAACACACCAGTTTCGAAAGTCATGACTAGGAATCCAGTATTTGTACTTTCTGAAACTCTTGCTGCGGAAGCCCTTCAAAAGATGGTGCAAGGTTTGTAGTGTATATAGAGAAACACTCAACTTTTCAAGTTAGTTATTGTTCTATATCTTGCCTTTGAATACATGGCTGATATTTGTTGACAGGGAGATTCAGACATTTACCTGTGGTGGAGAATGGAGAAGTTTTGGCTTTACTAGACATAGCAAAGTGTTTGCATGATGCCATTGCCCGTATGGAAAGGGCAGCTGAGAAAGGAAAAGCAATTGCAGCAGCTGTTGAAGGAGTCGAAAAACACTGGGGAACATCAGGTTCTGCTTTGTAAACCATTTCGTTTTCATGTTTTGTCTTTTGATTCGTATGATAGTTTACTTGCAAAACAGTTAGATATTAGTTATGTTCACAGTTTTTAATATTACGTTGTATTTGGCCTTTGGACAGAGTCTAATACATCATTCATTGAAACTCTTCGGGAGCAAATATTCAAGCCATCATTGTCTACAATAATTTCTGAGAATTCAAAGTAGGTAATACCTTCTTTGTTGGAGTTGAAAAAATTATATAAATTTTAAATTGTCTGTATGTTTTTTCACCATCCAAGTTACTTTAACAGATAATGGTTCTTTTTAGGCTAGTAACAGTATCACCAACGGACTCGGTTCTGACAACAACAAAGAAGATGGTTGAATTTCATGAGAGTTGTGCTGTTGTGACAGTTAATGATAAACCTCATGGCATCTTTACGTAAGTTTGTGGTCATTGACATGACCAGTAGTCCTCTTTACATGAAAAGCTTTGGCCTTTCCCCCAACTTTCATTTATATATGCTTGGAATAGTTTTGATGTTTGCTTAAAAATTTCAGTTCAAAAGATATCTTGTTGCGGGTAATTGCACAAAATCTTTCTCCTGAATCAACTCCCATTGAGAAGGTACTTTTTATTTTTACATTGATTAGAATAAACAGTTTACCTTTGTTTTCATTTTCCATTCTTTGATTCTACAGCATCTATATCTAGTAATGTTTAAGATCCTATGTTCTATCGTGTTAGATGAAAAATTGGTCATTTCGAGTGTTCATCCTTTTCTTGTTGCTGTTATTTAATAAATATGCAGGTTATGACTCCAAATCCAGAATGTGTAGTAATTGATACACCCATTGTTGATGCCCTTCACACTATGCATGACGGGAAATTTTTGCATCTTCCTGTGATTGATAGAGGTAATGTTAATTGCAATACATATGTAAGCGGGAAGATTTAATGGGTATATGCTTCGATATTTTTTCTAACTTGGTTTAGGTGGTTGAAAACAGATGGCAGTGTAGTTGCTGTGGTCGATGTGATCCATGTTACTCATGCTGCCGTGGCGACAGTAAGTCAGGTGTATTATCTATCCTGGACTCTGGAACTCACTACTATACTATTGTTGACTAGAATTTTAAATCCATGCTGCCTGAAAATGGGACAAATGGCTTTATTTGTGACGTAGCGTTTAGAATGATTCTTGTCAGTAATATTGTGACGTGTTCTTGATTTGGTTTTGTTGATAGTGTTAAATGTAGGCTTATCTACTGTTCATGAATTGGTAATATCTCAACGGAAGTTGAGTTTGTCTTGATTGTCCACTTTTTTTACTTTCTTTTGTGTTATATTTTGGTCTTCACCCCCAATTTTTAGCTGCTTGGAAATTTAAAAATCTGAAAGCTATTCAGCAAATACAAATGATTAAATCTAAGGCAACCAATTTACATTCTAATTCTTTCATTTACACAATTTTCGTAAGAGTATATATAGGATTGGAAAATAAGAAAAAGGTAGATGAAATATGATGGACCAATGCAAATCATAATGGAATTAGACTAACAAATTTAAAAAAAAAAAAAAAACATTGGTGCTGGTACAATTAGGTTGGAAGTAATTATATAATTTTCCTCCACTAACAGGTTGGGAATAATGAAGCTGCAACCACCTTGATGCAAAGATTTTGGGATTCAGCCATGGCCTTAACTCCAAATGATGATGATGACGATACACGAAGGTTATTTTCACATAAATTGTTTCGAGAAATATTACGTATATTTTAATATACTTACACACTTTTGATTATGCACCAGTGAAAGCTCCTTGAAATTGGCTTCTGATGGAGGAGAAACGGGGAGGTCCATTCCTTATCTTTCATCAAGCATGGCTAATACATTTTCCTTCAAAATACAAGATAAAAGAGGCAGAATGCACAGATTCACATGTGGTATGCAAATTATCTCGTCACCGATCAGCATTTTATTTGCCATTTCCTTCCATCTCTGACAGCATATAACTGATGGTTTCAGTATATGCTTGTATTGTATATAGTTCTTCTATAACTTTCACTTGAATGTGATTGGGTTGCATGTAAATATTGACAGTTAGCTCTGTAGTAATAATTGATAGACAAACATGCCTGCTTGACTTTGTTTTCAGGGAATGCCTACATTCTCTGAGCAACTTGAATGCAATATATTATTTCAAGGCAATTATGTTTGTGTATTATCAGTTGAGTTTTTGTATGGGCTTGCATGTTCAGATACCCGGAGCATGAAAGAGGTTATAACTTCAATCATTCAGAGACTTGGTGATGATATTGATCCTAACAACGTACCCCAAATTCTGGTACTTTTGAAGACTATTGTATATTCTTCTTGAGATTGGTTGTATATTTACCCTCTTCTAAGGTAAGCTGGTTGTCTATCATTTTTCAGTATGAAGATGAAGATCATGATAAAGTTGTATTGGCTTCAGACAATGATCTTGCAACTGCTGTGGATCACGCCAAGACAGCTGGTTTGAAGGTATGGTGTTCAGGTCTTGAGTCCTGAAGGAAAGTTTTGTCTCCTTTCTTAATATTGAAAAAGGAAATAGATTTGTAGATCTGAGAAAATCTTTTAGAGATAGATGATGGATATCTAATATAGGTTAAGTCATAAATTTAGTTCCATGTAATAAAAGACTACATTTTTGTGACCATATGGAAATTGTTTACAAATTAGTCCCTCTTGTTTTTTAGGATTATAAGTAGTATTCCGACTTTTTTATGCAAGGACCAAAAGTACAAAAAATATATGTCGGGAATAAAATATAGAATTTTGGTAACGTAGATTGTGGACCTGTCATTTATGGTAAAGATGTTTATAAAGTATACGTATCTTGAAAAGAGTTTGACTTAAGATTGATTGATGTTGTAGGGGTTGAAATTGCATTTAGATTACGCAGGACCACGTGGTAATGGGAAAAGTTCGCGTTCAGGAAGTTATGCTTATTCAGATGCATGGGCCTCTGCATATAGTGCCGCTGCAGCTGGAGCTGCACTTGTTGCTGGCTTAGGCATATTAACATACTTGAAGCGAGTTTGATTAAATGAAGAAACAAGTTATGTAAGTGAAAGAGGCCAATCTGAAGTTAGGTTGAATTTTGGAGGGCAAGCCGTCCGCTAGCTATCTTTATGTTCTGAAATTTTGTACAATTTCTCTATATATACGAGGAAAAGGTTTAAAGCATTTTTGTGTTTTCTGAAAATTAATTGGGATGGTAATCCCTTGCTGCTTGTGTATTTGTAATTTTAGTAATTGCAGCCTCATCAACCCTCGAGACTGAACAATAACAAGCAGCTCTGTCCATTTTTTCTGACATTACGAGTTCATAAATCAATCGACCAGAATTGATTTCATTAGCGGTAATGATATTTTCTTTGTGACGAACGTTTGTTGTATAAAAAATATTTAAATATGATTTTAATTTCTTCAAATATTACATTGTTTGGTTATAGTTCTTAGAATAATATTTGTTAGTTTTAAGTATATGACTCTTTTTTTTGTTTCTTTAGTTTTTCTTATTCCTTTAATTAGGTTAGTATTAAAAATCAATGGTACTAATTAGTATAAACAAGACATTATTTTAAATTAATATACCTATATGTTTAGGTATATATCTTATTTAACGTATTTATTACTTAATTCCAATATCATTATTTGTTATTTTTAACTGTTATGTATTGTTTTATTTAAAGTATTTACATTAAGTAAAGTTTACAATTCATTTTCTATATGATACTTTTGATAATATAATATCCTAAATCGTAATAAAATAGTTTTTCAACATATTCGAAATAGGAATTTTAGCTTAGGACAAAAATAATAAATTATGTTTTATGTTTTTAGAATTAATAATTATAATATGTTTCAATTGTATCCAATGCTTATAAAAATTGAGAGAATTTAAAACTTGTTAAAGCATATCAATCTACTAAAAACCAAGTGTATTTGTTACATTTATATAACCAAAATATACTGAAAATCAAGTATATGTTTACACTTGTATGAAAACCTTAACTAAGCTTCAGTACTCTAAATTCAATTATTATAGAAAAGGAAAATGATTTTTTTTTTCTATTTCCAAAATTAAGCAACTAGAGAAAACACCATCTTTAGATAATCATTATTTTTTACAGTAGGTGATACTTCCAAAGAATGAATTTTCTTGTTAGATCATTTAGTGAGTTAAAGAAATAAACTTCCACAACATTTCGTAGGAATAAATAAGTTGATGAAATAAAATCTTAGGTGGGTTTTGGTTGGTCAACCTATTGCAGCCTTATTTATAAATTTGATTTTGGAGAGACTTTGTTTGTTTACATCCCCTCATGTTTTGTCATCCTCCTTAACTCATTTTTGTTTTCCTATATATTCATATCTACTATGTTTGTGTTTGAATTTAATTAAGGTTCCCTTTTCTTCACATCCTTAGTCATGATTTCTACTGTTTTTTAAAATCTCTTATTTTCTTTTATGTTGTTCAAAATGTCAAAGAGTTCTAACGACCTATGATGGTAGGAGATGTTTCTCTAAAAGGAGGGTATTTTTTTACGTTCCCCTTCGCTACCATATCTCTAGGATGTTACTTTGAGGGAGGTAGCTCATTCTATAAAACTTGGAAGTTTCAAGAGAAAATTGAGATCATTGTTTGATAGCCTTTAATTTAACTAACTTTTTAACTTTCAAGATTAAGGGCTCTTGCAATGTTAAACCACAGAAAAATGGAAGTTCTTCTCCTATATCTCTCTAAAATATTACTATTTAGTAAATAAAAAGTGTTAACTTGGTAAAGATCATCAAACATTTCATTAAAAAAATACCAAATAAATCATTCATTTGAGTGGATTAAAAATAGCTATTTTTTAAAATTGAAATATAATTAATGTAAAACCCTCTATAATTAGCAATAATAATTCTGTGTCAAATCAAATTAATTCACACCACAATCAATGTTTAAATTCTCTTAAAAACCCCCTCCCAACTCTGATTTCATCTCTGTTGTGCACTGAAAAACCGTGCCACATCATTCTCTGAAACGCGCACCACGTCACACACACTCAGTGCATTAAAAACGCACCAAGCTCTGCATGCACGCATGCCATCTGTCACGTTAGAAGCTTCTAAAAGTTGTAGTGGGATCCAGGTGGCATTGCGGGAGTGCACGACCGTTTGACGAGGAAGAGAAAATGATTTCTCTGAAAACATTTCACTCCATTCTATGCATTCACCTTCTTCCTCACGAAACCCTGGTCATTTCTCTTCTCCAGCTTCTCTCTAAGAACTTTCATCTTCTCTCTACCATTACTCACTTCTTTCAACTCCAATCAACTTTCTGAAACCGTAGAAACGTTCACGGGCCAGTAAGCTTCATTTTGAGCCGAACTTCTTTTGATCCTGTAACCGGTAAGTTTCCAGCCATAACCTAGTTCTGGAATTTCTAGGGACACTGTTTCAGTTGCATGCAAGGATAAAATCTGAGTTTCTGAGTTCTTTTTTGGTTAAACCTAGTTGAGGAGCGTATAGAAAGAGTTTTGTCGGGGAGAACTCCTAGTTGGGAAGAATCGTTCAATGTTAAACGTCACTGCTAAGTGCTAGACCAGGTAAGGGAAGCTTAGAGTTTAAGTTTATACTGTGTGTTGTATGATCTGAGTTAACATGTATGAAAAGTATGAAGTTTGAGCTGTTATGGACGTTTGCTGATATCTGATATGATTTCGGTTTTGAGGATCTTGTCATGAACGAACACTGCTCGTAATGTACTATATATGTTGTGATTTTGATTTAAATGCATGTTGATTTGATTATGTATGGATGGAGTATGGTTATTGTATAGTTGGAATGATTAAAATGTTGAAATCTGTATGATGATGATGTTCACAGTGAATTAAATCTGGAAGGAAAGTTAAGAAGTTTATAAAATTGGAAATCTGGAAAATTCTGTTAAGATTGAAAGATCTGAAATTTCAAATCATCCCTCTGATAAATGACGCTCGTCACTGTACGGTCTTAGACCGTTCGGTTTTCAGTAAAATAACTTAGATTGGGATTCTTTCATTTGGAAGGAATTCTGCTCGAGAACGAAGCGTCCCCAATTGAAATTATCTGAGCGTTCGTCTAACTCAGCAGTATTTAAATATTTAAAACTTTATGAATAAGTAACGCTCGGTCTTATACCGAAGCGTTCGTCCTTAATATCGTGCGGCCTTATGTCGAACGTGTTACAGGGCGTTCGGTCTATGTACCGAAAAGCGTTTCGTCCCAAATAGCGCTGGGTTTTGCCAAGCGTTCGTTCTGATTATCCGTCATACACATGCGTTCGTCAAAGCAGGGGTTCGGTTTTATAACTGAACGCTCGCCCTTATCATGGAATTCTGAGCGAACGTACTTGGCGTTCGTCCAAAGTTAAGTATTTGAACGTGGGCTATGACAGTACGTGTGGTTTTCTGATTAAAATACTTGACATGTTAATCTAAGTTATCTCGTACGGTATTTATCATTTGATTCAACCTAAAGTTCTGTGTACTAAATTTTCTAAGTATTATTCTGATCTCCTAAATCAATCCAATTTAAATATTGAAGTAT